GAACGGCTGCTGGAGAGTTGCTCGGCACTTGCCTTCTTCGCGGGAGGAGATCAAAGCCTGTTTCCGCTTCTTCCGAAGCGAAATCACGCCAATCTCACACTCCCTCTTAGGCGCTGCTGCCTGCTTGTCCCCCCCCTCGCTGGGGAGCGATGCGTTGGGCTAATAACTGCCCAAACTGTCGAAAGCGGCCATCGCCCACTTCGCACAAAAGTGAAAGTGCATCAGTCCTCCATCTTAGCTCGACCGGAAGCCAAAATGCTGGTACTTCTTGACTGACTGGGATTGGACACTTGTGTCTTCTCTTCACTCCATTACTTTGCTAATCTACTAGCTACTCAGTCTGTGCGAGAGAAAGTCTTCAGCCAACTAAAATGTTGCTCTTTTAGAATAAGGGGAAGATGATCCTTATGGAGGGACTTAGTGGCTTTCCTATGGTGAAATTCCAACTCTGGACTTCCAGTTCACAACTGATGCTTTTTGAGTGCTTGTAAAGGTTTTACAGTTTCATCCTTTGAAATCTTAATGGTATTTCTTAATTGGCCTTGAGAGTAGTTCTCCACAGTCTGTTTTGACAGGCACGTCATGTTAGGAGTCACTGATGAAGGCGTCAGTTGTTGGCAAATGTCTTGTTGTTGTGTTTTGAGCATCGGGAATTTAGCTACCACAAGAGATACCATGACAGGTCTTCAGATACTACAAGATAGGTGCTTGTGAACAGAGGGTAGTGTATTGGTCCTTACAGTGCTGTAATATTGCCACTTGACTGTCTGTGCTGCTTGGAACCATTTTGATTGTCCAGGAGTAAGATTCCTGTGGGTTCTGACCTGGATAGCCAAGGCTAACCCAAATTTAATCAGATCTCAAAGCAGGCTTGGCCCTGCTCAGTGTTTGGATGGGAGACCACCAAGGAAGTCCAGGGTTGCTACACAGAGGCAGGCAATGGCAAACCACCTCTGAACATCTCTTGCCTTGACAGCCCTACAGGGTCACCATAAGCCAGCTGTGATTTGACAGCAAAAAACAAAACAAGGATTCCTGTAACAATGAAGCATAAAGTAGGTTCGTGGCATTTTAATGGAGAGAGGTCTTCAGAATTAGACTACTCCTGACACACAATTTATGCTTCAACCACAATGCAACCAGCTTTCCACTGATGAATTATGACCTACAATTAATGTTGCCAGATGGTTTCAATAAAAATACTGGACAAACATAAAAATGTATCGACCTCCCCCACCACCACCACCACCACCATGTGCTCTTACTTCTGGGACTTTCTTCTGATTAGACCCAGATAGAGTTGCTACCAGTGTTCCCTCTAAGATGAGTTAGTGTGAGCTAGCTCACAGTTTTTTAGCCTCCAGCTCACAGATTTTTGTCTTCGCTCAGGAAAGACGGCTCCAGAGCAAACTAATTTATGCAGTAGCCAAATTGCTCGCTCACAACTTTAATGGGAATTGAAAAAGAGCCCTGTAAATTTTTTTTAGACTGAGACTTAAGGCGAAGTTCTAAGGTGACAGCCGTTGAAGACTCTTGCTCCTCCTCACACTGTCTGTGCAACCTGCTTCATCCAGTGCCATCTAGAGGCCTTGGCACCTGGGTTGCTCAGATCCTGTTCTGACCACAGCACCACACATGCTTTCAGTTGAACTGCTCTTTGGCATTGTATTCTGCAAAGAGGGCCTTGCAAAACTGCTATTGGCAGGGTTCCTTAGAAATGCCAGGATAGTTAAAATGGTATAAATCAGAGTGTAGATTGGCCCATAAGCTTCTATTTTGTCAAGCTGCAGTAATTTACCAGCTACCTCTGAACTGTCCACAGATTTCTTTTAAGCATCCCTGGAGAAACAGCCCTGCAAATGGAACTGCAGGAGGCATATGTGGCTCCTCAGAATTACCTCTAAATTTCTTGAACAGAAGCTGGAGTAGACAAGTGAACAAGGCTTAATTTTAGCCCTGGACTGCCAGGGTATTCTAAGTGCCACTGGGCATGTACAGAGTAAATTTCTCTCACCACTAAATAATGCTAGCTTATAGTTTTAGACCCAACTTAAATATATGATAAGGCTCTCCTGTGGTTCTTTAAAACTGTGAATGTGACAGGAATTTGGATTAGGACCATGATACTGGGGGTGGTGATTTCAGTCCCTTCTCTGGCCTGTTTTGCTGTGCCCCTCTCATTCATACACCCATGTGGGAAAACAGACAGATACCCATAGTACCTGCATGCTTCCCAGTGCACAGCAGGAGTAGCTGCAGCATGAGAATGCTGAAGAAAAGAGAGTGGCTTGCTAATCCCAGCCTCTAACAAGTCCTGAATTCACTTGCAGTCACAGAGGGGAGGGGGAAGGAGGCAAAGCCCCACTCTCCTCTACTTTTGCGCCTGGTGCAGGGAGGGCCTTGCAGATGGCAGGATTTGCTGCCTTTTGCCACCACTGCCTGCCAGCTATGTATTTCAGGCCCACTTTCTTCTCAACCCTAAAAATACTGGACATTTATATGTCCAGTATTTTCTCATTTTCCCCCAGACAGTCCATGGAAATACTGGACTGCTTGGGACAATACCAGACACGTGGCAGCCCTAACCACGATTCCGTGAAGTTCTGACCTAAGATGGGCAACGCCACCGACACTCCCGTGATTTTGATTTTGTTGTTCTTTAAAGATTTTTCTCCCCAAGCAAGTGAGGGGGAAGGAAGAAGAAGAAAGCCAAAAATGAAAGGAAGGAATTGAAAAAGTAACTGAGACTTAAGGCAAAGTTCTAAGGTGACAGATGATGAAGACTCTTGCCACACTGTCTGTGCAACCTGCTTCATCCAGTGCCATCTAGAGGCCTTGCTGCAGCACTGTCTGGGGGTGTGCATTCGGATGTACCCGAGCTGAAAATCTACCCCAAAAATACCTATTTGGTGCAGATTTTGGCATCCCAAATATATCCAGGGGTTTTTTGGGAAACCAAACAAAAATGTCTGGAACTGCAGCACTGTCTGGGGGTGTGCATTCGGATGTACCCGAGCTGAAAATCTACCCAAAAAATACCTTATTGGTATTTGGGGCAGATTTTGGCATCCCAAATATATCCAGGGTTTTTTTTGGGAAACCAAACAAAAATTTCTGGAAAAATCCCGTATATATTTGGAATTACCAGGCCAAAAACAGCAGAGAAGCGGGAGTAGATTGCTCCCGCCTCTCAGCTGTTTGTCGGGCTTCTACTGCAGTCTGACAAACAGCTGTGCTGGTGGGGAGCAGACGGTTCCTGCCATGTTATCTTAGGGCTGGCTTTTCATGTAGGCCAGTTCAGCACAGCAGCCTCTATGGCTCAATTCTCTAGCATCAGTGCTCTGCCCTATCTGGCTCACCCAGCCCAGTTTGCAGCAAGTCCATTTGTTCTTTGCATACAGAAACCAGTGTTTAGCTTGTCTGTGAGCCAGCTATGCCTTGTGGAGCTGACACCTGTGCCCACTGTTACCCTCGGCTCAGTTTTGTTTGTTTGTTCAATTTATTTCTTCAGTTTATATCCTGCCCTCCCTGCAAGCAGGCTCAGGGCAACTTACAAGGTCACATAAGATATTGTGACAGAGAAACTATATATAAAATCCAGCAATTAAATCCTAAAATTTAACTGGACTGTAGGAGAAGCAAGCCCAGCCAGGGTTTCCCATGCTGCAGTGTGCTCCGTGTTAGATTGCCGCTAACAAAGGTCCGGAGAGTGATTTCAGCAAGTGATTCAGCTTTATTGAAGTAACGAACAAGCACTCAAACGCATTCATTACCAGAACAGATTAACATTGGGAGCTTGGCTCCTTTTAAACATTCCCGGGCTAATGTAGCCACGCCTATTTACAAATAACAACCAATAAGATTGTGTGGATAAGGACCAATGAGGGTTCATCCCGCTCAGGGGATAGGCCTGCTGTGATTGGTCACTGTTCCGAAGCGACCAATAGTTGTCAGTGCTGCATGGAGCCTTGGCCGGCTCGAAGCTTAACATGGGAGGTGGATTAGGCGATTCATGTAATACTGTCAGTAGATTACACTCCGTGTGGCCCAGCGGCTCCTGGGGCTCCCTTCTCCTGCAGCCTGGTCTAAATCAGACTGCGGGAGAAGCCAGCCCAGCCAGGATCAGCTGTGCCCAGTGGGAGCAGATTTTTCCCTGCGGGCTCAGCTTTGCGCTGGTTTGTTGTTGTTGTTTTAAAACCAGTATTTTTCTTCTCAGGTCTATTGGATCTGAAAAAGATTCGGGATTTCCAAAAAAATCCTGGATCCGAATACCATAACAGAAATAGACGCGAACCCAAAAATAGTGGTTAAATTCTTTTTACACACCCCTAGTACTGACAGTCCTCTGGCAACTCTCCAATGTCATCTCCTTGACATGGTTATTGCTGTCCTTTTTCTTTCAAGTGATGTTGGCCTGAAGATACCAAAATGGTACAGTCAGTCTCTCTCCTTTGTATGCTTACACCTTCTGTGATGGCAGATTCCGTCCCTCTGCAACTCCTGAGTTAGAATTTGACAGTCAATGAACGTTTTATTGAATCTCAGTATTGTTGTGGAGTCTGGCTTTGCATTTCATTCTTCTTCTAATGTAATGGAGCAAATCAATTTACCCTTGAGATGGAAACAACTTCCAAAGAAGCGTTTTGGAGTTTAGGGAAACAGCCAATGATTACAGTCTCTGAGGAAATAAAGAAGGTGCCAGCTTCATACAACACTCTCTGTGTTTCCTTTCGTTCTGTTAGGTGGATGCTGAGCAGTACTATGGGGAGCTGGAGGAGAAGTTGACAGATGAGTTTAATGCTGAACACAGCCGGATCGCGCTCAAGCGCCTCGATATGGCTTTTGTCACGTTCCAGGACAAGCGGATGACTGCCACGTGAGGACCCACAATTTATAATTATTTCCTAGCACTTCAAGGAGTTTTACAGTTTTGTTCCATGTGCCCTCACTGAATGGGGCTGTCCAGTTGGTCTATACCAGGAGGTAGGGCTTGAACCCAGGTGGCCAAGATCCAAGACCAGTCTCTATCAAATGAATCAGTCCCTGCCTGTCATGGCCTCTTTCAGCAGCTGAGAAACATTGCTTGTGTGCATGTCTTAGTTTGGAAGGCTAGTGTTGTTGGTTCCCCCCCCCACCTGTGCCACGAAGAAAAAGAAGAGTCCTCCTTAAATACACATACAAGTTACATATATAGAGTAATTAAAACATTTTTGTGTATACCCTATTTTAAAAAATGGTTCATGATTCTAAGCGGCATCCATAGTAAATCTGTCATTTCTAGGCTTGTGCTTTCTGGGCATAAGCAGTTGGTGAAAAGATACCTATTTGGCAGAGATATCTAGAGACCGGGAAATTGTTCTCTAGCTTCTCTTTTAATTTTAGTTAGCTGCCCTGGTTTGTTCATTTTTTGAAATAATTGCACAGTGATTCTTTGTGGAAGCACAACGCAGCCCTTTTGTTGTAACCACTGCCTCTTCTCTTCCCCAGTATTTTGAAGGATTACAGTCACACCCACTGCCGCAAGCATCCACAACAGTCATCCGTTACCACAGTGGTGAAGTCCCATTGCTGGGGGGTCAGATATGCCCCTGCCCCCAATGACATCATCTGGTAAATGTTCATCCTTTTCTACCACATGCTGGGCTGGCCCTGGCACCACTGGGCTGGTTCACTCAAGGCCACGGGCTGAGACTCACGGGCTAAGAGCTTTCTGGATCGTGCCAAAAGGCTTGTGTCTCTGGTCCATGCCCTGGTCTACCTGAAAGTTCAGCTTAGACCTTATTCAGCTGGTGGACATGTTCCCAAGAATTCCCCTCTCCTGCTTCTTGAGTTCCCCTCTTGAACATCTGGGTATCTAGAGGACAGCAAATCTGCTTCTTTGAGCCCTAGGCAGTGGCACCAAGTGAAGTAAATGGAAATTAAATGTATCTTGGACACTAAGTCCAGAAAGACATGCTAGTAGATCTAGGCGCACTGTATTGTAAGCAAGAATAATTCTGGTCAGCTTCCCAAGGTACCATTTTAAGGGGCCCCATCAAGACTGCTGTAGCACTTATCACAGCAGAGTTAAGTGAAACAGCCACTGCATCTGCTGACTATAGTTAATGCACTTCTGCTAAAGGCAGAGAAGTGTATTGGTAAAGGTTCACCAGGAGCCACTGAAAGGGCCTTAATCGCTTCCAGAAGGTCCTCATGGCAAATATTCATCATCTGATTTTGAACGAAGTGTTCTCCCATGGACACTTCTAGCTGTCAGCTGCCTTATTGATTTTATTTATTGAAATATTTATACCCCACCTTTCCTCCTTGTAAGGGGCTCTAGCAACCTTAGAGCTTCTATAGACATCTGCAAGCCAGATGTCAACTAAGCTGTTTCCCATAGGAGGAAGTACATGACTAGGGTTGCCAACTGGCCTGGAGAAAAATGTCCTTGCCCTTTAATAGAAGCTTAATGGGATGTTGTTTACCAGGTGACTGTACTGACCTCCACTCTATGAATTTATTTATTTATTATTTTCAATTTAAATCCCACCTTGCCAGAAACCGGCAAAGCTTCAGCTGCCCATTTCCCTGTGTTAAGCCTTTGTTAAAAAGACAGGATATTTTTTTCTCAGCACCTGCTACCAACCGTACAACTGCAGCTTTTACCGGAATCAGCAACAGCAGCTCCAAATCCCTCTTCTTGGAGATACTGCCTGTTTCATTTCCTGCATTCCAGAGGCTGGGGAAGCAAAAAATTTTTTAAATTAAATTAAAAACAAAACACCCAGGCATTACTTTATTGTATGTTTCTTTTCCCCTTCTTCAGTTGTGAGAAGATTAGCATGTATTGCCATCTTCTGGGCATGGAGCAGGGTCACTGCGGGTGTGGGGGGGGAGTATTTGTAAATTTCCTGCATTGTGCAGGGGGTTGGACTAGATGACCAGAGGTCCCTTCCGACTCTATGATTCTGTGATTATATCTCATGCTTTTAAATGCATTAACTTATTGGCCAGGATCCAAACTGGTTGGCACAGAAGCTCTCTGCTTGCAACGGCTGCCACCTGAAAATTGCCTCCCCCCTGCCCCAAACAAGCCAGGTGCTTTTTGGAGTGGTACCACTTGAGGCACAGGGGCTGTCACAGAAGAAGGAAAACGTTGTATTTCACTTGTTCACGAACAGAAACGTTTTCATGTGCTGAAAGGTTTGGATTCCACCCATCATCTTTTTAGTCCTTCCAGAATTCTTTTTCCCAGCTCCTTCCGAAAAAGTCTGCTCAATCAGTGGAAGTGAGCTCTGCAGATCATAGGGATGTCATGTTGTTTTATCTCTTGAAAAATCCATCAAATACTCATTTTGGGGAGGTGGAATCTAGAGCCAGCATTTTGTGAAATATTGTAAATCTCTGCCCGGTGTCCTTGGCCCAGTCATTAGAATCCTAGCTGAACATAAAGGTGTATACACTAGTTCTAAATCCCGCAAGCTGGGCAGGGTATTATTCTGAGGTTGAATCTCTCGCTGTCCTGGTGGTCGAGAGCACTGATGCCTTCCCTGCACACCCCATCCTGCATGTGCTTTTTTTCTCGTAGGGAGAACTTGTCCGTCCGTGGTGCATCGTGGTGGGTGCGATTTATCCTGCTCAACATCTGCCTCTTCATCCTCCTCTTCTTCCTCACCACGCCCGCCATCATTGTCAACACCATGGACATGTTCAACGTTACACGGCCTGTGGAGAGCCTCAAGGTGCACAAACCCCTCCCATGGGGTTCTGCCTGGTTGGCACCAAAACTTGGCTGTGAAGAGGGTGACATCTCACTCCGTGCCTCCCTGGGCTTGCCCATTCCATGCTCATCAAACAAAGGGAGGGTGCTGCTCAATGTCCTGCGGCAGGAGTTATGCCTCTGCCCCTGGACTTGATAGGAAGATTTACTGCCTTTGTGTGCAGAACAGCAAGAAAACCATGCTCTGTGTGAATGCCTATCAGATTGGCCTTAGACATGTAAATGCATACTGAATGGGTTGTTGATATGAAGAAGGAACAACATGAGGATAGCTATTGCTGAGGCAAACACATTTTTAACATTTATTATACAATGCCTTTCTTCCCAGTGGGAACCCATTGTTCTCCTTAAGAACCCTGTGAGGTAGGTTAAGCTGAGAGTGTGCGACTGGCCCAAGATCACCCAGCAAGCTTGCATGGCAGAGTGGAGATTTGAACCTGGGTCTTCCAGAACCTAGTCCAATGCTCTGGCCTCTACACCACACTGGCTATCTGAAAAACTTGCCTTGCATGGACCCAGCATCTTGTTTAAACTGGGCCTATGCATACAATATTAGCATGCTAAGCACAACGTTTTCACGGGTGACACATCTCTGGTGAATCAACATTGAATGTGTGGCAGCTCGTGGCCAAGTGTCAGCAAGATGCTGGGTGCATGCAAAATAGTGAGGCTAAGTGCTTCTTTCCCGCCAACCACATATGTAAGTCAGGCCTCACTCTTGATCATTGAAACAGATTTTCTCAAGACAAATATCCTATAAATGGGAGATCAGGCAGGTGTGGGGAGTGGCTCTCTCTATAGCCAACCATCCTCTTAGAGCAGAAGTTGTATTTTTTTAATCTCAGCCCCAGGAGGCTGCATAGAGAGAGATTTCTGGGACACCAGAGGAAGTCCTATGCTTATTCCTTGTCTCTCTTTTTTCTCAGAACCCGATTGTCACCCAGTTCTTCCCCACACTGCTGCTCTGGGCCTTCTCTGTATTCCTCCCTTTCATTGTGTATTACTCAGCTTTCTTTGAGGCACACTGGACGAGGTAACTCTCATACTCTCTTAATTTTCAGACTGGAAATGTAACTGCATATCTTGCTGCTGGAGTTATCCTGGGTCTCTGAGCTCTCTGACCATGCCAACTGTTACAAAATTTGGTAACCTCCAATACCCTTAAGAATCTCCGCTTTAATAGTTAAATAAGTATGTTTTGTCGTTCTCATAGTCGTAAAGGGAAGCCTAAATCTGATGCTTTGGTGTCAACAGTACCCGAGAGCTAATACTCTTTCAGTTGCTCCTTGGCTCCAGTTTTCAGATGAACTCCCCCACCCCACCCTTAAAAAAATTCGACTCCAGAGAGAAAAACATATAATTTGGGAAGGGGAACATTGGGTGTGACACTTCAGTTTACTACAGAATTCTAATCTAGCTTTCCCTGATCACTTTTGCAATCTTGGTATCTGCTCTTGATTAACAAAAAGGTTTTTCCCCATCCCTTTTAGATCAAATGAAAATCAGCTGACAATGCACAAGTGTTACTTTTTCCTGGTCTTTATGGTCATCATCTTGCCTTCGCTTGGACTGACCAGGTACAGAGCAAAGTACATACAATATACATCCAGGTCATACTGTCCTTTCAACAGTTCTATCCTGAACCCTCCGTGGTGGTTTGCAAAAGGAGCACACAAATTTCTGCACTTGAAATTCATCCCCCAAAGTTGTAGAGTCCAGCAATAATTTTAACAGTACCTAGTAATTGTCTACAGCAGAAGTCCACAACCTTATGGGAACTGTGGGTGCTTTTGAAATTTTTTAAGGGCTCCACCACCAATTGGCTGCCATGGAGGCCGGGGCCAATCAGAAAATGTGGGAGCTTCCAAGCCAAGCACCTTCCTACGATGGGGGCAACTTTACTAAATGGGTGCTCCCTGGAGACATAAAGGTAATGCCTCCTGGGCTCTTCTGAAACTCTTTTCCAAAGACCCATAGTGAGGTGGCAACCTCTAAGAACTCCACCATGAAGGTTAAAATTTTGTTGTTGTCATTTTATTTTTATTTTTAAAAGTAATCAAAAGGCATAAAATATGACAGCTAGGTTATATGAGAAATAGCCTCTGATATATGGGTAAAGCCTAACTTGAGATAATTCTGTTAATTCCAGTTATCACTTTATTAATCATGTATTATTTGTTTAGGAGTTTAAGGAGAAGATAATAAATAGTTTTTCAAGCAATCACAGGCAATAACGGGGGGGAAATTTTCTTTTTCTTTTTTTCAATACTCATAAACTAAGCAGACATTGCCAGTGATACTGTGTATAATATGATGTAATACTATGTATAGTGTTCTAAAATGTAAGAGATGCGTGTTGCAAGCATGTTACCTGGAAAATAATAAAATATCAGTTAAAAAAAAAGAAAGAAACACTTTCTGCTCCAGTGAGGTGGAGGGCAGTCAGGACTGGCCCTTTTGCTTTGGTGGAAGAAGATGGTGAGTGCCAGGAAGCACACTGGCAGGCACCAGAACCTGTGGAATTGTAGTAAAAAAGGTAAAGGTTCCCTTGCTCGAAAGCCAGTCGAGTCCAACTTTAGGGTTGCGGTGCTCATCTCCATTTCAAAGCCGAAGAGCCAGCGCTGTCCGAAGACGTTTCCGTGGTCATGTGGCCAGCATGACTAAACACCAAGGTTCTCAAAAGGATGCGTTCCATGTGGTGGTTGCAGTTTGTGCAACCTAAACCTAGGTCTGGAAGTGCTTTTCAGACATTGATTCTCTCCATTTGCAACACCATGCCGGGTGCAGCAGTTGAGGTAGCTGCAAGAAAGGATTGCTTATGCTAAGTTTTTCTCAGCTATGCTGCATAAGCCCTTTGTAGTGAGATACTCTGTAACTGGGCTTGCTTACTGGACAGCTTTCCAGATCAGACAATAATGTTGCTTTTAATAGAATGCAAGACATTTTCTGCAACATCTTCCAGCACTATGATCAGATCAAGTACTATACTTTAATCAGACTTAGTCAAAGGCCTAGGTGGAAAGATGCATCCTAAGATAATTTCCCTAAAACCTGTATGTAGAAGAACCCTGCCCATGAGCCCTGGTTGTTTTCTGTACTAAGCAATCAGCTTATAACACTTTCCTGGTCTCCATTGTGTCTCCCCAGTTTGGATCTCTTTTTTCGGTGGCTCTTTGACATCCACTTCTTGGATGAGGCACAGATAAAGTTTCAGTGAGTATTATTGAACAGTGAGACTGTACAAGTGTGGTTGGTCAGCAGTTCTACCAGCGGGGACAGGTGCCCCTGCTTGTGTGTATGAGGGGAGGTTGTATATGAGTATGGCCCTTGTTCTCAGCAAAGTTTGGGGATGCTTGTCACTACCAAAATGTGCTCAGAACACCTCTTTCTCTCCCCTTTATTTTTGTACCTGTAGGTGTGTGTTCCTTCCTGATAATGGCGCTTTCTTTGTCAATTACGTCATCACCTCCAGCCTGATAGGAACGGCCATGGAACTGCTGCCCATTCCTGCACTTATCGTCTACGCCACTCGACTTTCCTTCGCCAAGTCTGAGCCAGAGCTACTCCATATCAAGCGGGTTTGTGGTTCTGTTATTTCCTTAAGCTTGGATGGAATCCTGAACGCTGTGGAGCTCCCTCCTTCACTAGGTTTTTACATTGCTATGCCTTTTCTAGAGGCCATATTGTGCTCTGGTATCTTAAATGCTTAAAGCTTGAAAGAACCTTCTGAAAGACATGCATCAGGTTTGGTTTTGTCAAAAATTTACATGAAGAAGGTGCTGACTTGGGACAAGCTTGGCCTTGAAGTATTGTTAGCGAGGTTGTGCTCCATGTGTGTTCGGTGCACCGCAGCATGCTATGCAGCATGCAGCGTAGAACTAAATGTTCACATCTCAGCTTAGCAGCTTAGTTTTCTTTTCAAGGAAATTGTGTTTCTGTTCCTTGTAGTTGCAGAGAAATAACATAATCAACTAGGTGGTTTTAACCAATGGCAAAATTGAGTAGGACCTTGGAAAAGGGATGCCATTGAACAGGCAATGGGGATTCTTGAGGAGCTGAACTCTCATGGGATTCTGTTTGATTTGGTACACGCATAATGCTTAACCATGGCTAGCATTAACTATGGTTCATTGCCTTTAGCTCGGGTTTAGTTCCTAAACGTATGGTGAAACCATGGCTTACAGAGGGCATGCATAAAAGGGCCACCAAGAAAACCAGTTTGTTACCTTGTAAGCTAGGATGGCCAAAGTGGAAGACGTTAATCATGGTTGCTCAAAGCAGTCATAGCATTTAACTGTACATAATGCCTTGGTTTGCAGATCCTCTTGGAATAGCTTTCTCATTCTGGTTTGTGGCCAGTCCTTATCTGTGATTTTGACATTCAAGCATACTGCTTAACCTTGATTAAAGAAAATGAATTATGGTCAAAAATTATTCTGCACGTGACCTTTGAACACGGTGCTCCATGCTACAGTGTTCTTGTAACCTCCATGAAGCTGAAGACAACAGAGTAAGTGTGCTAATGTGTTTGTTTGTTTTTTTGTCCCCTCAGAACCAAGCGTATGAGTTCCAATTTGGACTGGAATATGCCTGGACCTGCTGCATTTTTGCTGTTGTCATGACTTACAGCATCACCTGCCCCATTATTGTCCCCTTCGGTGAGTACACATGAGGCTTCCTTATACTGAATCAGACCCCTGGTCTATCAAGGTCAGTGTTTTCTATCCTGACTGGCAGCAGCTTTCCAGGGTCTCAGCATTACCTACTTTCTGATCCTTTAAAAAAATGGAGATGCTAGGAATTGAACCCGGAACTTTCTGTACACTAAGCCACTGCTGTACCAACCGAGCATACTATGGCAGTCTCCCAAAGGTGCTGTCATTGTCTTTGGCAATCCCTGCAATGCCTTGGCTTGGCCCATCACAGTCAGAGAAGGTGCTGCAGCAGAAAGCAACATTATAAGGTGGGTCACATGCTTGCCACTGTGAAGTTAACTTTCCCCAATCTGGTGGCAGCAGGCCCTGTCCTTCTGGGTGATCAGGTTCTGTATACACAGGACATTTTGGATTATATGGAATTGTTAATCCCACAAAAATAGAAGAGTGGAACCTATGACCAGATTTGGAAATGCCCTGTTCACAATGATAAGATTTAGGAGCTGTGACTGAAATCCAAACACTTTGAGGTGGCAGAGACAGGTGAGGATGCTTGATCAGGCCCCAAAGAGCACTTCGGTCGGAGTCACAACACCGCCTAGTGATCCCGGGCCCTAAGGACTTGCTGTGACTTGCTGCCACAAGGGCCAGGTCCTTTTCGGTGGCGGCTCCTACCTGGTGGAATGAGCTCCCGAAGGAGATCAGGGCCCTGCGGGGCCTTCTACAGTTCCGCAGGGCCTGCAAGATGGAGCTCTTCCACCAGGCTTTCGCGTAGGAGCCGCTGCCACCACTACTACCAACGTATGAGCGCAGAGCAGTACCGCCAGGCTGGCGTTGATTGACCATGGAACATCATGGTCCATGGCATCCTCCTCATGGATCCCAATGTGATGTGCAATAGGGAGTGAGCACGTAAATCACGATGGATCCTGTGAATGTCCACTTGTGTTGAATCGTTTTAACTTGTATTTTAGTGCACTGTGTGCCTTAACTGGTTTTAAATTTGTGGTAAACTTGTGGTATTGTATTATATTTGTGCTTTGTAAGCCGCCCTGAACCCACGTGCGGGGAGGGCGTGGTATAAATGAAATAAAATAAAAATCAATAAAATAAAATAAAAGTATAGTGCTGGATATTGTGAAAGAAAGCTGAGCCTAGCACAGAAGTCCAGTGCCACACGGTGTCTTTTCTAGTGTTTGGAGCTCCCTTGGCAATAAGAATGTCCGAGAGCCACTAAGTCCACTAGCTTTCTGCTGTTGATCAGTGAGGAAAGTGGATGTTTTCCATGAGAGTTGGAACTACTGGACATACAAAGATACCCAAATTTGAACCTTGGTCCATCTAGCCCAATAGTGGGATGGATCCCACGCAAAATCTACACAGAATGGGATCTCTTTGCTCCCCCCCCCCACTGCAGCCCCAAATCTCCCCACAAGCAGCTTGTGGAGTCATGGGACTACCATTGACAGAGTGAGAGAGGGGAAATAGGTGGAATCTTCCCTCATTTATCCATCATCAGAAATTTTTCACTGGATTCACCCCACTGTCTACGCCAGCTGGTATCAGCTTACCAAGATCTCAGGCAAAATACTTTCCCCCCCAGCATAGCTCCTTAAGAACCTTTTGATTGGCATTGCCAGACATTGAACCTGGGATCTTCTGCATGCAAAGTGAGTGCTTGGTCACTGAACTATAGTCCTTCCTGGTGAATGCAGCAAAGTCTGCCTGGACCACAGTATCAGCCCCTGCAGCACCTTGGCTGCTGGTGTGTCTTCTGAATTGCTGTTCTCTTTCCTCCCCACCGATCTGTTTCCACACAGGTTTGCTCTATATGCTGCTGAAGCATATGGTTGATCGCTACAATATTTACTACGTGTATATTCCCACCAAGCTGAACCAACGTATCCACTCTGCAGCTGTAAGCCAGGTGGTGGTGGCTCCCATCCTCTGCATGTTCTGGCTACTGTTCTTCTCCATCCTCCGTCTAGGTAGGTACAATTTAAGCTTTGCAAACTCATTCATATGTCTCTGAATGCGAAGGTGGTAGCAGTTCCTGAGCAGGAATATTGCAGAATGTTCATCTACTAGAACATTTTCATACCTGGCGTTTGTGAAAAATGATGTACAAACTCTGCTGCTGAAGCACACGCTTGATCATTTTGCTTCTGGACTGATCAGACCTATTTTGCCAGTGTGGACTCTGATGCTAAACCAGTTGTTCACCCCTGTGCCTTGGAGAACTAGTTCAGAAATCACATAACTTTCAGCTGTTCCCAAAAGCAGATGATTAGTGCTGTTTATCACTTTTCTATATCACTTGAAATCAGTAGGACTTACCTATTGCAATCCATGCACCAAATTATGCACAATGATTTCTTAAGTACTTTTAAAGTTGCTACCTTGGGCAAACTCACAGCAACCCTGTGAGCCAGTTCATGTTTGAACACACACAGCTTAAGGCTGACAGATGATGACTTGTTTAGGGCCGCATAGTTGTTCACAGCAGAGGTTACAGATGCCTGTACTTGAGGTCTCATGGTTGTCTTGAGCACTCCGGTCTTGCTGGGGATGAGATTTGCAAGTCTTCTTGTATATCATCATGGATACATCCTATATTACAAGTGAGGGATTAGAAGCCCAAGTGACTTCTGCTTTTGCAATCTCTGCTGCTTTGAACAATGAAACCAGCTCTTAGTTAGGAAATATCTGGAGGGAGATAACACTGGTGTGGAAGGTCTTACTGATGTTCCACTGCTCTAGAACTCATGAACACATGAGACTGCCTTCTGCTGAATCTGGCCATTGGTCTATCAAGGGCAGTATTGTCTATTCTGACCAGCAGTGACTGCCCGGGGTCTCACATCATCTGGTGGTGGAAAGTGCCATCGTCACAGCTAATTTAGGGCAACCCTGTGGGGTTTTCAAGGCAAGAGATGTTCAGAGGTTTGTTTGCCATTGCCTGCCTCTGCATCATGACCCTGGTATTCCTTGGAGGTCTCCCATCCAAATACTAGCCAGGGCTGACCCTGCTTAGCTTCCGAGATCTCAGGAGATTGGGCTAGCCTAGGCTATCCAAGCCATCTGCTTCCTGATAATTTCAATTGCAGATACCAGGGATTGAACCTGGGAGCTTCTGGATGCAAAGCAGATGTTCTGCCACTGATCTCCTAACTCCCAGCTCCTAGAACTGTGCAGTAGCCAAAGCTGAATTGATGTGAGGCAGATTTTAGCCAGTACCCACTTAGATTGCAGGGAGAGGATACTGACTGGGTGGTCTATTGATGATTCTCTCAAGGGGTGGTGCTAGAGAATTTAGCTAGGTTTGAGGGCTGAGGATTAATAGTACTTAGAATGCCCCCAGCCAGATGTCAGATGACTTGTACTTAACACTAGTGGTATTTGGGCTTTCAGATTTAACGGTAAACATAATTGGAGAAATCAACATCAGCTGATCTACATTCATAATTGGAGAAATCAACATCAGCTGATGTACATTCCTGTGTTGTTGTTTATCTCTCTCTCTCTCTGTGTGCTGCAGGCCTCATCAGGCCCATCACCCTTTTCACCAGCGTAGTCCTTTTCTTCTGCATCCTTTTTTCCTTCTTTGGCCTTTGTCTGAAGAAGCTCCGATCAAGGAAACCCTCCAGTTACCAGGTAGGAAATAAACAAGGAATGCTTCTAGTTTCGTGTGAGCTGTTCGTTGTGCATCTCAGGTGGACTTCAGCAAATTCAGAGAGCCAAAGGTTGAGTGCTGGTTCCTCCATTATTTTGAAGATATGCATATGCACTGCATAGATAAAGGAGATTCTTCAGCTACCGAAAGTCTTGTCCTGCTTTTGAAACAGATGTGCATGTTATTTTTTCTAGAAGGGGTGACACAAAACAGGAAAAGTCTGGAATCCAACAAGCACAGGAGACAAATTTATTCAAATGTTGTATATATCCCAACACATTTTTTTGGTGGTGTGTGTGTGCGCGCATGCGTGCATGCTTGCACGCCTGGAAGTCATGATGACTTCTGGCAACCTCTGTTGGGGTTTGGACATTTCAGAGAGGTGGCTTGATAACCTGCCTCTGTGTCCCGATCCCTGGTATTCCTTGGAGAACTCCCTTCCAGTTACTTGCCAGGGTCAGCCCTGCTTAGCTTCTGAGATCTGACAAGTTCCGGCTTGCCTGGGCTATCCAGGTCAGGGCATCCCAACATATTTTGAGTAGTTTTCCTGGGTGAAAGAGCTTCAGATCCCATAGGGATATGTGAAACACTCTTAGCTGGAGAAACTTCATATATACTTCTGGAATCAGGATGAATCCCAAAAATAATTGCAAATTGATTTATTTAAATAGTGGATGTTTTAACGCTCAAAGAGGCTTCCAGAAAACCCATCAGAAAAAACAATAGTAAGACAGCTCTCCAACCCAAGGAAACACCATAGATTTTTTTAAAAGCTGAAATGGAAAATGTTTACTAGACAAGAACAGCCTTGCATAGTTTATGAGACTTAGCAATGGAAGGGGGTCTTTGCTTTGGCAGACCATTCCACAAAAGCTGAAGAGCTGACAAGCCAAGTGGACCTCCATACTTCCTTGTCTTGGAGTACAATCTTTCAAGAAGTACACTGGTCTCAAATAGTGTTCTTATTTCCTGAAGAATAACCAGATGCGATTTTCAAGGTATGGAAAGATGCAAGTGTTAAATTTTTCTCTTGCCATTCACTAAAGGAACTCAGGAGCATCATACATGGTTAAGGACCACGCCCCATTTTATCGTCACAGCAGCTTTTTGGTTAAGCTGAGCAGTAGTGACTGGCCCAGAGAGCTTCATGGTTTTGAAAACAGGAACTCCTTAGTCTAAGGCAAGCTCTGTCCACTACAGTTCACAAGAAAATGTGATCAGTGACCCTTGAAGGAAAGTAGCCTTCAAGTAGTTTTTTCCCCTGTGCCTGAAAAATGGTTATGTTGATTGTTATCCCACAGGTAATATGAGAAGGATCTCAGTGTCTAAGTGTTTGAGGTTTAGTGCTGTAGTCACTCATGTCTTTGGTGCACACACATTCGCACACTACTTGTGTGTACCTGAATACATGCAGGTGCCTTACAGTGAGTCAGACCATCGGTTTATCAAGGACAGTATCATCTACACTAATTGGCAGCTGATAAAATCACTGGCTGCAATAGTTCAGTGAGATTCTTAAGCCCACTTCCATTTGTAAAGGAGGGTATATTTTCCATCCTTCCTGTCCCCAATATGGACCCAAAGCTGCTCACATCATTCTCCAGTCTTCCACTGTCTCTTCACAACAACAGCCCTATGAGGGATATCAGGCTGAGAGAGTGTAATTGGCCCTAGGTCACCCAGCAGGCTTTTGTGACAGAACCTGGGTCTCTTAGATTCTAGTCAGATGCACTAACCATTACACCTCACGGGCTCTGATAGGTCAGGGAAGTTGTTAAACTCCTAGCTTTATTTTTTGATGAGTTACGCCTGTCAGAGTTAACCTGCTTCTAATGCAAAAAGTGGGGGGGGGGGATGGGACTGGAGATTACGTGGGATAGGATGTTCCAATTCCATTCATGGTTGTCACTGCAACTTCCACAATCATCCTGCCACTAGTGGCCAATTTTGAAACTCCCAGTTTGATTTTCTGTTGAGATATCCCTGTCACAGATGGACTAACAGACCCTTTTATTATTGTAGAAAATGACTTGCTCACAAAGCGATGTGTCAGTATGTAAGCAGCGTGAGCTGGCAAGGCTGACCCGAATCTCCAAATCAGACTGTTGCCAGTTTAATTCTCATTCCAATATCCCTTAAGGGAAATGTTCCTTTTGAGGTTTGTGGGCAAGGCCTTACTTTTTATCTCTCATCCTGCCTGTACTTTTCTCTGTTTACAAGCAGCTGTCTGAGCAATCTGAAGGAGCATTCAGTGATACAGAAAGGAGCAGCATCTCTTCCACTCCCAATTCCAACGTAAGCATGCCTCCCATTTCCCATACACCTCCCCCTCTTCTTGCACACCAGGGCTGCTAAGGTGCCAGCATTTCTGTAGGCACTAAGGAGCATTCTGGGTTCTTCACAGGCAACCTGGGACACCATTCCGTCTGGCTGCATGAGTCTACCATCTTCTGTTGACCAGCCAGATCCTTCCTCTCCCCCGGCTTTTATTCCTTTGCAAGTAAAGTTCCTCTTGAATGTAACCTGCTGTTTGCTTCTCTGTCACAGATGTTTGTGGCCACAGTGCTGCAAGAGCCAGAGCTGAGTCTGACACCAGCTGCCTCCCCGGCTCATCGGTCCTACGGCACTATGGGCACCCGCCTCGAGCAAGTGGAGAGTATGGACGAGGGTGGCATGCAGAGCTTTGAGACAGAGCTGGAGAGCACAGAGGGCGAATACAGAACGGGGCTGGTGCTGGACAACCAGAGTTCCTATCATTGACAACCTCCGGCCAGAGCAATGACTGATAGATAGAAACATCGAAATGTTAAGAGTGTCATAGGGAAGTGTCACGTCCTAAGGCCTCTAGATTGTTCTGTGCTGCTGTGTTATCAGTCCTGCTGTGAACCACTCCTGGGCAGAGATTTAGTTCTTGCTAAGGAGACTGGGACCCTTCGGGCTGATGAATAATGAGCCTTCTATGCTGCATGTCTTGTGGCCTCAGTCTTGGGATGGCAGCTGACTGCTGTGTGCAGATAGCTTGACTCGTGGTGGAGACGGAGCTAACGAGGAAGATTTGCGGGGGCTTCTTGCTTCCAGTAGCTCCAGCTGTTCCGCACCTGTTCCATTTGTTGCCTCTCATCCTTCTGTTCCAGGTCGCACAGACTTCCATTGCCTGACTCTCCTGACAAACTTCCGATCTCAGTCACCCTGTTTTCTCGCACTCTCCCTCCTCCATTTCTTTGCTTTTCATGTATGTTTTCTCGGATTATGGGGAAACCCTTCTGCTCATGACAGTCAAGGAAAGAGACTGTGGCGTTCCCACAGCACTATCCACCCCACCCCACCCTGGCAGCTGTGAACTTTTACGGAAGCCTTTGGGGGAACTGGGAGGGGAGGGAGTTTCCTGAAACAAATTAAAAATGAGCGATGAGTCTGTTGCAGAAGCAGAAGGCCCATAAAGGTTCCTGAATGCCGCAGGGTCACTAAGAGACACTCTGTTGTGAATTACAAAAACTCTTAAGCTTTTGGTTGTGCCCTACAAGCTGCTGCTGCTGCTTTTGCCCAAATCAGCTGCCTCTAAGAAAGACTTGCTGTGCCCATTCGGCCTGACTCGTCTCTATTTTTCTAAGCTGGTCGTGTTCCAGGAGAATTGTCTCATTCAGGTCTTGCCTGTTCTTTGTCTGAGGTCCAGAAGGGTGGCTGGTGGTGGGTTTCCTTGTTAAAGCAGACTTCCAGGTGGGGGTGAAAGAAAGACTGAGCTAGCAGCCGTGGGCCTAACACAATACAACAGCAACAGACTTGCATCTGTTTAAAGCCTATATTTGCCAGAATTGCATAGGAAACAGGGAAGGGACATGGTCAGAACTTATAAAGCAAGATGGGTAGATCTGTAAGGGAAAAGGAACCCTCCCTCTGCCTGCTGCTCACCACTCTGCATCCCCTCTCCTAGGCATTTCCCCCCAGCTTAGGCCTCCTTCTAGTATTGGACTCTGGCTAGGGGGACAGGAGCTCACGGGACTGACTGCAGAAAGGCATGCTGTGTTCTGAGGGGACTGCATGCTTTCTTTTGTCACCTTGATACATGACCCACGCTCACCCTTCTGTTGTGATTGTGGCAGATCTGGATAAGGCTGGGGTGGAATAACAGGCCTTTAAACAATAAGAGGCGCCTTAGTACACCAGCATGTTCCAGATTGCCAGCTCAAGCTGCATGGATGTCATGTATGTACCCCATAGACTCCAAGGGGGCAATCAAATATGACAGGATACTTTTTTGTTAGATTTCTGCATGGGAATGATTTCAGAGCTGTGTAGAAACACCTCAGTCATGCAGGGCTTTCTCTGGCTCAATTGCATCATACACTGTCCTGTTAGATAGTACACATGCTGAATGTGTTCTGCAGAGTACCTGGACTTAAGTGCATTGGAGGGGGGGATTCTCTCTCATTGCTGGTATTCTGGAACATGAAAGAGCTTGGAACATGGCCAATGTCATAAAGGAGGTGAAGGACTTCAGAGTTACAGGTGACTCGCATGTAAGTCTTACAGAGGCAGGGTTGTGTCCTTTCTTTGTCACTCCTGCAGTGGTAACAGTTGTGTGATAGGCGCCAAGGGCGAATTCACATATTACAAACTCCTCATTTTCCCCACTGTGTCCTATTGATCAAATATGCATTTATTTATTTAAAATATTTTTATGCCACCTTTCTATCCAGTCAGGGTCCACAAGGCAGTGAGAATGAGCATTTAAACAATTAAAAATACAGTTAAAATTATGTCAGTTAAAAACACATAAACCACACTAGAAGGAGGGCCAATAACCTGCTGACAAAAGACATTGATAAAGGGTGTTGTTTGGGTTCTTTCCTGTGAACTCAATGCCAGGCACCACAGGTCAGCAGGGAATGAGGGCTGAAGCTGTTTTCCCAACATAAAATGGCCGTTCAATAAACCTACACATAGCCCATCTGAAGGGGTAAATGCAACTTAATTTGTACTAGTAAAGATTAGGGGTGTGCTCTTGGTATTCGGCTACCAAAATAGCTGCACCATAATAAAAGAGAGAAGAGATTGGATTTATATCCCACCCTTCACTACCCAAAGGAGTCTCAGAGGTAGCTTACGATCTCCTTTCCCTTCCCCACAACAGACACCCTGTGAGAGAGCTCTTTTGAAAACTGCTCATGAGAGAACAGTTCCAAAAGAATTTATGACTGACCCAAGGTCACACCAGCAGCTGCATGTGGAGGAGTGGAGACTTAAACCCAGTTCTTCCAGATTAGAGTCCACACTCCTAACCACTACACCAAACTGGCTCTCTAATATAAAAGCTGATATTATTCGGCTTTTGTGCATGGCCTTTTGAGTTCACTCGCTGAGTTGTACTGCTGCAGTAGCATGACTCAGCAAGTGAACTCAGCAAGCATTTTCCTTCTCCATTATACCTTATGGGGATGGTCCCCATAGAGTATAATGGAGCCGAATAAATTAGAGTTTCCTGAATATTTACCTGAATTCCAATATAAAACTGATATTAGTATTCAGGAATATTCGGGAATATTCCTGCACACACACACCCCAATTCAGGTCTATTGGACCTGAAAAAAAAAACCCTCAGGTTTCATAGCTGAAGACAGAGAGTGCCACATCAGCAACTTTGTTACTGGTTCACCTTACCATCCTATAATCGTTTACTTTCACCCCTGCCCCTCAGTACATGTGTAGCCCCCAGTGAGGCAAATAGTGGTTCCTCAAGGCCATTTCAGGTCAGGAAAAGGGTGTGGAAGGGAGGGCTTAAGTCCCCTGTCCCTATACACCACAGTCTCAGTTGGGCCCAGATATGCCTGGGAATTAAGTTTTGAGCACAGAATTCCACATGTACATCTGGATCAATAGGTCACATGGGAACCCAAGGACGTAATGTGTGATTTGACCATAACGGGTGAAGCTTTCCTATCAGAGAGATGCAGCAATGAAGAAAGCTTTCTCTAGTTGCTGCACCTATGTGCTAGAAAAGCTTCACCTGTTGATTTTGTACCTGCTGCACAAGTCTTAAGGCACAGAAGAGCATAAAACTTGTTTTGTGCCAGACTGAGCAAGTCAGCTTCCTGTTGCTGTTCACAAAGCAGGAGACAAAAATCTAGAGTTATAAATTAAATCCAGAAGTAAGAATATAAAATTAGCTAAAACCTAAGCTTGCAATACAAAATGCATACCTTGAAAAAAATCCTGTTAAAAGCAATGGGAATTTCTTCAAAGTAAAACATTGCTGTAAATGAAGACATTAACATGAAGTATTAAGATGTTAGATTCTTCCAACTATAACATGCAAAACTGAGCTTAATAAAAACCCAACCTGGGCTCTTATATACACAACCACTATAAAGAGCCACTTCCTTTAACAAGAAGAACAGCAAATGGAGTTGAACTGGTAAGTAAATCTGTGTAATATCTGTCCACCAGTGTAGAGAATTTTACCACATCCACCACATTGGATAGCCAGGGAAGCAGATGGACAGTAAAATCTTACTACATGGCAAGATGTTACAGATGACTTGGTGGCCATATCATCACTTAATAATCAAATTAAGTTATCCTTTGAAAATTTTGGCTGAATACTAGGGTTGCTAACATCCAGGTGGCACCTGGAGATCCCCTGCTATTACAGTTGATCTTCAGATCACCAAGATCAATTCCCCTGGAGGAAAATGGCTGCTTTGGAGGGTGGGGACTCTCTGTGGCAATAAGCCCTGCTGTCGTCCCTCCCCAACCTCCACTCCCCAGATCTCCAGGTGTTTCCCAACTCAGACCTGACAACTCTTACCTAATACAGGTGAATGCTTTCAAACCTTGAGGTTCCAAACAGTGGTGGTGGGTTTCCCTTGAGTTTCTCGTTTATGCCCTAACCTAGATAGCTGAGGCTAGCCTGATCTCATCAGATCTTGGAAGCTAAGCCGGATCAGCCCTGGTTAATATGTGGATGGGACTACCAAAGCAACTGATGGCAAACTGCCCCTGAATATCGCTTGCTTTGAAAAAACTGGGGTAGCCATGAGTCAGCTGCAACTTGATGGCAGAAAAAAAAACTTTTATAGCTTAACATAAATTCACATGTTTCTTCAGGTCCATGGTCTTACTACGCCTCTGCAGTGGCTTCACACACAGTGGCTTCATGCACAGCTTAAGTTGCCATTCTTTGTCTCATGAAGCAATGACCCAAGGGTAGTTGTGACTATCCCAAGTCTTGGTTTGCATGAGATTGCGTGGGCTACCAAGTTTCTCCTTCACTGACATTAAACGCCACAGATAAATGAAAGATACTAAAGTAGCCTCTCTACTGTGGCTGCAGAGGAGAGAGAGCTGTTAGTTCAGATGTATGTGTTGCCCTATCTTGAAAGCCTGTTGACTGATTTTGTGCAGAAAGGTATGAACATTTGGAGTCTTCAGGCAATTAATGAACTGTTGCTAAGTTTCCTTGCTGTAGGTTGTAATACCCACCCTTATACAGAGCAGTCAGCCTCTCGCCTACTACTATCAGACCTGACAAAAGATTTCCAGAACCTCAGGCAGAGGCACCCATTCTAAGAACTAGGCAAAGAGGAAAATAGAAATGGGGGGGGGGGTTTGGTAGGGGGGGGGCAGGTTTAAAATGTTGGTACCACTCCCATGAGGCAGCCTGACACTAAGTCAGACCATTGGTCCCTCAGAGTCAGTATTGTCTACTCCAGGGGTGTCAAATATACAGTCCATGAGCCAGATCCGGCCCCTGCAAAGCCCCAATCCAGCCCAAGAGCAACTGGCTGTGTGCTGCTTCCTGTTTCTTACATCACAGCTCCTTTAGGCCAGTCTCTCCTATTTCCTGCTTCAGAGGAGAGAGAGAAAGCTTTGCCTCGATTGGGTGGGGGCTCCTCCCCACTCCTCTGGGAAGGGGAGGGAAAGACCC